AGCATCGGACGGCGATAGAGGAACACCTGGACCCAGCAGCCCACAAGAGAGGCTAACAGGGAGCGTGTGGTGATGCCGAGGTAGATTTGGATCAGGGTCAGCCTGCACAAGGCCACCGTCCGCACTAAGGGAGCGCAGACGATGCCTATGCGCCCTTCCACCTCGGCGCCCACCACCACCTTGTGCGTTTCGCCGCGCGCGCGCTTGCCTGGATGCTGAATCAGGCCCACGCGCGGGTAGCCTGCATCGCAGGCGGCGAAGACCTCACGATCACGACGACAGGGGTCGTCGGGGCGAGGAGCGGAGCCATGCCACGAGAGCTTCTGAAAACCTGTATGGTCATCAATATTCAGCATCTCGACAAACGGTCCCCGCGGGAAGGGCGAGCGGTGGACAACCTGCTCGTGAGGCCGCAAGGCCCCGAAGCTGTGCAAGACGCCTTCATGTGCAGAGTTGGCAATCTCCACCGCCATGTTGTCGCCCATCGCTAGAGCATTGAGGCAAGGCGCGACGTCCACACCTTCGAGCTCGGGGCGCCAGGCTCGAAAGGCCTTGAAGCGGGATGATGGCAGACGAACGCGAAGGGCGTTACGCCTGGCGCGCGCGGGAGGAACGCGGAAAGTGTAGTAAAACTCCCGTAGGTCGTCGCAAGAAACTGCCAGCCACTCCCCAGGCGCCAGACCCAAACGGCACAGCAGGAAACCCTGGCCAAGGCGCTGGGTGCTGGACGAGATTGAGGCACAGCGGCTGTTCACGACCGTTGGGTTCAGGATCAGCCTGTCGAAGTCGCTGTCCTTCGGTACCCTGAAAGCTCCGCAGGCTTCATCCCAGGCGAGGTCCGAAGCAGGAGTCAGGTACAGGGCGCCGCAGGCATCCCACTTCTGGAGCAGGGCCCACAGCTCGGCGCGGTCCATATGGACACGCGCCCCCTTTTGGCCAGCAGGCCACTCTGACGCCGGGAGCCGCATCTCCTCTGGATTGATGAACGCTTCGCGGACTCGAGCGTCAGAGAGAAATGGAATGGGATCAAACACTGGCGAGTAATCCCACTTAATGCGAGACGCCCTGACTTTTAAATCGAAGGGCTCGACCTGGGTGGAGTCCCAAGCCGCCGCAGACGCCAGCGAACCAGGCACGGAAGGAGCGCTGGTCGGGCAGTGCCGCATGGGGGCGGGCACGGAAGAAGAGGAGGTGAAGGAGGCCTCCAAAGCTGCAACATGGGTGGCCAGGCCATGGAGCGAGACCTCAGTAGAGTCGAACTTGGCGAAGGCTCGACCTAAGTCGCTCTTGCCACCACGGGCAAGGCGAACTGCGATCCGACACAACCGTTCGATACGGGTGCGGACGCCCTCCTGGCAGGGCGAGACCGTGGCGCGGACACGAGCCTCGGCGGGAGCGAGGCTAGGATGACCCAAAGTGAGCCAGTTCAACGCAATAACAGAATACTGCGCGAGCGTCCGCGCCGCGCGCCGCAATCTCCAGCGCTCCCTGCGCCTCGCCGACAAGCCGTCAGGCGGGGGACCAAGAGGTGGAGCAGGCGGGCACGGCCAAGGATCGCGGGGAGGCGGCCCCAAAAGGTACGGGTCGTCCCTGTCCATTGCACGCATAGATGAGCGGGAGAAAGATCCAAGAGAACATCGAGCACCCATCCCAACCTGGGACAGCGCTGCCGCCCAGTGGGTGATATCAATGTTCGCGCCTGGAAACAGGCGCAGCAAGGCAGACAAGTCAGCGACAAATGGCGCGACGTTGGCAAGAGCAGCAGGGGTGCTTGAAGGAGAACAAGCACCAGCAAGAACACCAACCTCAGGGGCTGCAGGCCCCATGGGGGGAGCGCTCGACTGAGGCAGGTGACGGCCAAAATGGCCGAATGGATCCGAGGGGCGGTTCGGAGCAGAGCGAGGGGCGTGGTGGCGGAACGTACTCCTCCCTGCGGGGCCGCAACAGCATCGCTGGAGGAGCGCATTCCTACCCTCACGCCCTCGCTGCGCCCAAACACGCCTAGCAGCCGTAGCAGCGTCGGTGCAGACTGTCTGCGGCGGCGTACCCCGGCCACGCGAAGGCCCCCCCTCCAAGAAGGCGGGCGCCAAGGGCATCTTCAGTCCTTCTTGGGCACCGCCTTCGGGGCCTTGGGAGCACCCTGAGACTTGAAGGGGGGCTTTGAGACCTTGGGCTGCTTGGGCTGATGAGGTGGATGCTTGGGGAGCGCGACGGCGCGCTCGGCGTCGAGGCGCGCCCGAAATGCTTGCAGCTCCTTCATGTATTCGCCCTGCGCCGACAGCCAGCGAGGATCCACTAGGGGTGAAAACGGGGTCTGGGCCTCGCGCTCCGTGTGACGACTGGTCACGCGACACGGGGGAGGCTCCAGCCCCGTGAGGAACCAAGCGGCCTCGAGGTAGCCGCGGTCCCCCGCCAACTGGTCGATGAACATGCACTGGCAAGTCAGCAAGGTCTGGACCCTCTCGGGGTTGCCCTCCTCGCAGGCCCGCCACAGCTCGGCGCTGAGGAAGGCAAAATGCGTCAACAACTCGCGCGTCGACGGCTGAGCCCCGAGGGGGCTGTGCTCGCGAAAGTACTGATGCATGGCCATGGGGGTCACGGCGCTGACTTCCACGCCCAGAACGCGGGCCAAATTCTCCTTCATCAGTCCTCGCACGTCGGGGCCGTGCTGCATCAGCGCTTGCTGCCACTCGCGCCTCCGAGCGATTCCCCCCATCTGAGCCGATGCGTGCGCGGGGTCGCCCGAGGTCGCGGGCGGAGTTTGAGCTTGGTCGCTCAGGGTCCCCAGAAGCGGGTGGAAGGCTGGGCGATGGCCCCGCCCCTGCTGCAAGGAAAGGGACTGGTGCAGGCACTGAAGCATGAGGCTGAAGTCCGTCGGATTGGCCGCAAGGGGCGGCTCTAACCCGTCGGCGCCGCCCGCCTCGGCAAAGCCGTCGACCGCAGCGGGATGGGCTAGCCCAGGCGGCGGCGGGGGGCCCATCGGTCCGGAAGCGGACGAAGGGGCCCGAGGGACAGCAAGAGAGCGCGCCTTCTCCCACGCCGAGACCAGCGCGGAGGTGGGTCCCTTGGGGCGCGCGGAGACCCGATGTGGGGCCACGGGCGCGTGGGACAAGACGGCCTCGACCCCCGCAGGATCCAGCCCGAGGCGCGCCGCCTCGTCGCTGAAAAGCTGAGGCACCTCGGGCCGAGCGCTCCGGGCAGCCGGAGCGGGGCCCAGCGGTTCGGGTCCGCCGACCATCGTGGAGGCCGCGTGGGCTGCAAGCAAGGCGCGCATTTCGGCAGCTACCTCGGCGCGGGTCATGGGAGCCCCGTCGTCCAGAGACGCCGCAGGAGCACCAGGAGCAATCGGAGCAGGACCCGCGACCCGTGGCGGCGCGGCGGCGCCAGCGCGCTTGGCGGGCGGGCCGCGCGGCGCTCCAGCGACCGCGGGGGCTCGCGCACTTGGGGCCGCGCGGTCGGCTTCCCCGTCGGCCGCGAACCCCTCGGGCTCCTCCATCTCGTCGGCAGAGTGGTAGGGGGTAGCCCGATCGGCCCCTGGGAGAGGCTCTTCCCCTGCGGTAGGCGGGGCGCCGTGCAAACGAGCGTAGCCCTCGCGAAGCACCCGAACCCCCGAAGGATGCGGCCAATAGACGCGGCTGCGCACCTCGGCGAAGGGAACGATGCCTGCGTCGTCGCCGACCTCTAGAGGGTACAGCGACTCGAGCTCGAGCTCGGCAACCTCGATATCTATAACGAGGACGGATGCGGTAGTGGCGAGCGGCCGTGAAGCGGCCCCCTGGAGCTGGACGTCCACTAGCTGGAAGGGGCCTATCATCCCAGCAAAGCCATCCGCCTCGGCAGCCTCGAGCTCCGCTGTAGAGCGAAAGGCACCAGGCAGGGCCAGCAGGATGCCCCCTTCTCGAGAGGCGAGGGGGATAGCCGCCCAGCTGGTGTCGCCGTCGTCTAGGCGCCATCGTGCGTAGTCGCGCGCCGTGGGCGCAGCGAAAGGGTAGAGCTCGGGCCAAAGGGGCCCTCCGCCAACTGGTGGCAGCTCCGCCATCAGTGGGCGCCGCCGTGGACGCCGCCGCCCGCACGCTGGGCGTCTGCCCGCTCGAGCGCTTGAGGTCGAGGCGGAGCCCCGTAGGCCAGCGCTCGCGCCGCACGGCGGTCCTGCTCAGGTGAAGCAGAAACCGCGCCGCGCGGCCAGGCGGAGGGCCAGAGCCTCCGCCACACGTACGGGCCCAGCAGCCCGAGGCAGCAGCCCGCGCAGGCGCTGCAGGCGGCCGTCACCCAGAGGAGGGCGGCGACCGTGCTGAGCAGCCAGGGAGAGACCCCGCCGCTCAGGTCCACCGCCAGCCCGAGGCAGACGGTGGGGCAGGTGGAACCCGCCGAAGGGAGAGGGCAGGAGGCCCCCTCACCCTCGGACGAGTCCGCCTGCTGGATGGACCAGGCAGGCGATGGAGGCCCCTGGTCCTGAAGCACAGAGAGGGGGGCAGCCACGAGCCGCTCGTAGAGCGCGGCCCGCAGCCCCCTGAACAAAATCTCCCCAGCGCCCTGGAGAGCCGCTTGTGCGACCGCCTGCATAAGGCGCCCGCACGCGCGGCCGACGGGGGGCACTTGGGCAGAGAAGCTGCGGAGACAGCAGGAGCTTGCTCACAGAGAATAGAAGAGGCATGATGATGATGATGGTGGTGGTGATGCTGATGATGTTGATGATGAGGTGGAGGAGGGAAGCGAGGAGGAGGAGGAGGAGGCAGGTGAAGAGGAGAGGAGAGGAGGAGACGAAAGATGAGGAGGCGGGCGGCGAGAGTCCCTCGGGCCAGGTCCACGTCGGTGGGGTGGCAGCCTGCTTACGTAGAGCTGAGCCGAGGACGAGCGATCGAGGGCGGGGGGGAAGACGCTGCGCTCCAGAATCGCCATCGGCTCGAACTCCCCACCCCTGCCTGCGATATCTCGCCCCGAGCTGACGGGGATGCCGCTGCTGGCCTGTGCAGGGCGGAACAGGCGAGAGCCCGTCGGGCTAGGTCCAGGTCGGTTGTGTCTGGTGGTAGCCCGCTGACGTAGAGCTGAATCAGGGCAGAGCGGTCGATGGTAGGGGGGAAGACGCTGCGCTCCAGAGTCGCCATCAGGTGTGCTGGGCAGGGGGGCGCGGTCAACTCGATGACCCCTGAGACCCTGGAGTTGCAATTTGTCCACAATGGCCGCGTTCGCAGAAAATTCCACACCTCGGGGCCATCACAAATCGATCCCGTTTGCAAAATACGTCAGACTATTGGGGTCCCGGGTTCCTGCCGTGATTTCGCGGTCTTGCAAATTTCTCGCAACGTCGGAGCTCAGGGATCCTTAGAACGTGTTTTAGCGCCAACGTGTGCTTGTCCACCGAAGCCCTCTAGCACGGCGCAGGCGAAGTAATGGGGGCCGACGCACAGGATGCGTGCCATCGGCCGAACAGAACGGGGTAAACGCACACACTGGGCTAGCACACGTCCCGGACATCATCGGTCAGGCTAACACGCGTCCCGAACATCATCGGACAATCAGTATAAACCGCCGAGCCGGATCGGATCGAAACGAGGAGCCTGCACGGGCGATCGCACGGTCGAGGGCGTTGGGGGGAAGGGAAGAGGTGCGGCGCCAAGCTTCGGCCACCAGGCTCCTGGATTCCAGGCCAGGGTGGTTCAAATCCGAACAGATCTCCAGAAACGAATCCAGAAACAGAGCGGATTGGAAAACTGTACGGCTCCTGACCTCCAGACTGTTTCCCCCATGAACCCCAAAAGATGAAAACTGGCAGCTTCCCAACTGACGAAAGGGGGGTTTTACCATATTGAGACAAGCCAGAAACAAAGATCCTAAAGTGGCAGCAGACCGAGTGGGCAGCGCGGTTGCCAAAACCTGTCTGGGATGAGGGAGGGAGGGGGAAAGGACGATGACGAGGCTCGCTCGTTCGCTATCTGCGCATGGCCAATTCTCGAATCACTCGATCGGGGCGGTGGCAGCCGTTCGGGAAGCACTCTACTCGCGCCGATGTCAAAACACAAGGGGAGCCCCTCCCTCAGCAATCAGCTTGGGGACTACCTGATTTCAGCGCAGGGTCGAGTGGCCTGCACGCGCAGACAAAGACGCCATCTCGAAGACGCAGAAAGGACGAGAGAAACAAAGCGGCAGCATGGGCGGCGGCAGTGGAGGAAGAGAGGGGGGACAATGACCAGCCAGGCCAGGAGGAGGAGGAGGAAGAGGAGTCCGTAGCCATGTTGGTTCAAGTCCGTAGCGGTTCCGCTCAGGTGTGGGGGGAGAAGGACCCCCGACAGCATCCCTCTTCTGCCAGGTCAGACGAGGTTTTCATTGCGCCACCTCCTGGTGGAGCACAGCCTTATCCTCCAGTGATCAGTCGCACTCCCATGGGCAGCCTCAGTCGCAACGATTCCTGGTGTTATCATAAGAAGATGTGCGGCTTCAAAACGAATCCCACCAGCCCTTTGGGCGTGAGTGGTTTAGAGAGCTCTCTCTGTTCTCAACCCCCTAACCCCCATATCTCCCCCTTCGGGGAGGGGTTTACCCCTCCCCCTACCCTGGAGAGGGCGGGCCGAGTGGGATCAAGGAGGTCTTTTTCGACTCCTGGGAGGGCCAAAAAACGACGACCCTCACGAGGATTCTGGTCCCGAGGGGGGGAGGTAGTTTGGCCCCTCAACTCGTCTTTGAAGCCAAAAACATTGATTTTACCATGGTTTTGGCACCATTTTGGCCTCCTGAGGGGGCCGCGCTCATCGTCCTTCATAGCAAAACCATTGATTTTACACAGGTTTTGGGCTCATTTTGTCCTTCTCAGGGGGCAGCGCTCCTTTGCGCTTCTGAGGAGGCCGCAAGAGGCCCCAAGATGGCCCCAAGAGGCCACCCGGAGCCTCCCAAGAGGCCCCCAAGAGGCCCCCAAGAGGCCCCCAAGAGGCCCCAAGAGGCCCCCAAGAGGCCCCCAAGAGGCCCCCAAGAGGCCCCAAGAGGCCCCACGAGGCGCCCAAGAGGCCCCCAAGAGGCCCCCAAGAGGCCCCCACGAGGCCCCAAGAGGCTCCAAGAGGCCCCCAAGAGGCCCCACGAGGAGCCCGAACGACTCACACCAGGACGAGGGGCCCGAACGACTCACACCACGAAGAGCCCGAACGACTCACACCACAAGGAGGGGCCCGAACGACTCACACCAGGACGAGGCGCCCGAACGACTCACACCACGAGGAGCCCGAACGACTCACACCACGACGCGGGCCCCGAACGACTCACACCACGAGGAGCCCGAACGAGTCACACCAGGAGGAGGGGCCCGAACGACTCACACCAGGATGAGGGGCCCGAACAACTCACACCACGAGAAGCCCGAACGACTCACACCAGGACGAAGAGCCCGAACGACTCACACCACGAAGAGCCCGAACGACTCACACCAGGAAGAAGGGCCCGAACGACTCACACCAGGACGAGAAACCCCAAACGACTCAAATCACGAGGAGCGCTTTCTCTCCCTCCTCCTCCGCCTCGTCCTTCTCCCGCTCCCCCCACAAGGAGGATGTACAAGGAGGCGGGAGGAAGGAGGAACAGGGGAGATATGCGGGGCCAAGCGGACACACGCCTGAAAAACACGACTGTCGGCATGCTTCGCAAGAGTTGCTGCTGTGAGATGGGCTGGTGGGGATACGCGAAGCGTAAAGAATTCCTTATGGAAGAAGCACGGCTACAAGTGCGGTGCCGAGCGTCCTGCGGTGCCTGCTTCTCCTCCTGCCAAGCCGCCAGAGGGAGACCAGGCCAATGGTCCACCCACGGCCAAGGCCAAGCCTCAGTAGCTCGACCCCACTCAGTTGGCAGTGTTCATCAAGATGTCAGATCAAGATCGCGAGACCAGTAAGTCCTTGCTCGGCCCAATCCAGCGCGCTCGCGCGCAGGCTCAGCGCGCGCTCGCTGCAGGCGATCCCAAGGTCTACGATGAGGCCAAGCGGCAGGTGCTTCAGGTGGGGCAGAAGGCCAGCAAGCTCGAGACAGAGGCGCAGGAAAAGTTCAAGGAGCTGGTGGCGCGTAAGGGCAAGCTGGAGCAGTTGCAGGAAAAAGGACCACTCTGCTCGGCCAAAACCACTGCGGCGCGGGCTGCTGTCCGCTCCTCGGCGGTCGGTGGCCCCGCGTGCAGTCTGGCTCTCGCGATGAGGCGTCTCCTGATGGTCTGGCTTTCGCGCTTCTCAATCAGCTCGAGTCTCTCGATGGCAGGTTGGTGGCCTTGCTTCGCTCGCTTCTGGCTACTCGCGATGGCATGCTCGCGCCTGCCGACGCGCCCGACGGCTCCGAGCGCTGCAGCGTCGACGACGACACCGTAGATGGCGCGCCTAAGCCAGAGCCCGCGCAGCACCCCTTGCCCTCGCCTGCTCTGTCTGTCGGGGCTGCCGCGCAGGCCCTCTTGGGAGGAGATGGGCTTGGCGTGGGCGCCTCGCCGCCCGCTGCGGTCGATCGCCCGGCCACTCTCGCGCCCGCGGGGAAGGGGGGGGGGGGGGGGGGGGGGGGGGAGCGCGGGGGCGGGGCTGCGCAATCTCAGAGCAACGACCAGCCAGTCCATTTTCCTCTTTACCTCTTTATTCCAGCGCCTCGCGCCCAAGGGGCTCTCCAGGAAGCAGCGCGACAACGCCCTCGGAGTTCCCAGCGACGCAGCCATTAAGAAGCACCTCCACTTGTTCCGAGACCACAGGCGCCAGCCCCTCCTCCGCGCCTCACGTTTAGCAGGGGGGCGGCGCAAACAATGGCCCACCATCGCGGCGAACGTTGGCGGCCAGGCGGGTCTCGACGCGCACCTTTCCGAACCCATTCCCAGCGACGTTCCGCCGCTGCAAGAGTCGCCGTCTTTGCAGGCCACGTCCGAGGCATTGGAAGCCAAGTTGCGTGCTTCTGGGTGGGCAGCCTAGGTTTGCCTCCGCTGGGAAGCCCGCCAGGGAGCTTAGTCGCGGCCGCGGTCGCGAGAATTTGTTTTGGCGCCGCTGGGTCACTTTGACGTTCAGATTGTCGTTGGTCATGCTTCCATGCGTCATGATGGCGGGCTACTACGCGGTGGTTTCGTGCTTGTCAAACTGTGCCTCGTGCATTCTGTGGGCATCAAAAAGCAGAAATGGCCTAGCCTGGCCAGGGAGGGGGCGCAGCTCAAGACGGCGGGGCTGCCCTTCGTCATCGGCGGTGGTTGGGACTTCCCTGCGGAGGATCGGCTCAAGACGTCGCGGGTCGAGGCGCTGGACGCGGCCGACGCCGCGCCCGAGCACGCCGCGTGCAGGCCCGCCATGGGGTGCATGGATTATTTCGCTGTCTCGCGCCAGATCGCAGGTGCTGCCAATGCCAACGTGCTTCAGAATGTGCAGATCTCCCCCCGCCTTCCTGTCAGGCCGCAGCTGCCCTCTGTGGAGCCCCTGTGCAAGGTTAGGCACGTTTAAATGCCCGGGAGGTTCCCCGCCCAGGTCCCCCGTCGGCCGCGTCGTTCCCCCCCCCGTTGTCGACCCCTGGGGCCATGTCAGTCAGATGTGTTCGGACCCTGGCTTCTTGGCCCAGGACAGGCGGGATGCTCTCCAGATAGCAGCCGAGGCCGAATGGCTTTGCTGGCGGCGTAAGGTCTACAATTGGTTATCACATGTCAATCGTGAGCTAGTCTCAGCCGATGAGTCCTTCATGTCTCGGCTAGTTGCAACAGCTGGGCGTCCCTCGCGTTTTCATCGCCTCCCCGACGCAGCCGAGCTCGCTGCGTGGATGGCGATGCTTCGGCAGGCACATGTCAAGCCACCCCTGTCCGCCCCTGCAACCGCCAGCTTCGTGGGCGACGAGGCGAAGAGGCAGCGCCGCCCCTGCGCTCGGGTCAAGGAGCGCGAATTGGCGGAGTAGGTGGATAACCATTCGTCTGTGGGATGTCGGCCCCCTATGAATTCTCTTCCCTCCCCGCCCCGCGGCAGCTTGACTCCGCCCACTCTGCCGCCCTTCGCCCGCGCACCTCGCTCGAGTCCGTCGATTCGTTGGAGAAAAAACGGAAAAGTTGGCGGCGCGTCGGGGTCGAGCACGAACCCCTCCGTTGGCCTAAGATCAGCGCGCCCACTCCTAGGCCCGAGGTGGCCGCCCTTGTGAAAGCGCTCAAGAATTGCAAGCTTCCGTCTGCCACCGGTTCTCAATCGGGCCTCGCCGCGGTCGCTCTCGCCGCAGCCGCGCGCGGCGACGGGGGCTCGCTGCGACATCATTAACAATATTGAGCACAAGCGTGAGTGGCCGACCATGTGAAATCGCATCGTTTTCTCTATTAAACGCACGGATGGCGCGCGTCCGTCGGGGCCCCTGCACGCCCTCGCACGCGCGCTGCGTCGCCGGAGACGCCCCAGCCCGCAAAGGTTTAGCCCTTCTTTCGGTCCACCAACGGTGAGACATCGAAAAAGCGCGCGAGGATCCAAGCGGCCTGGTCGGAGCATTCTGCGCATAAGAACAAGGCTTGTGCGACGCTCGTTAATACTTTCAAGAAAGTTTTCGAGCTGGTGCAGCATCGCCACTTGATCGCAGCGGCAGCCCCCTCTGGTTTTGCCGAGAATCATCGACGTCGGGGGCGAAGTTGGCTCTCTGCTTTCGGTGAGCAGACATATGTAATTTTGCCACTTGCATTACGCAGCTGATTCTGCCAGGCCGCAGCGCGGGCCGCGCGGCCCGCCGCCTGGCTTCCCGTCAACGTCAACGACTTCGGCCTCGCACGCCGGGGCATCGAGGCCAGGGTCGTGGACGACATCGCGGCTGCGGGCATGCTCTTGGCCCAGCGGTTGCAGCGAGTCGATCTGCGCACTGCCCCTGACTAGGTCTCGAGTTCTGGGCAACGCGCCGTCTGCGCAATATGCAATTGCCACAAAGTTTCAGAGCCCCCAGCCCCTGCATGCTCGGTCTGAGCGGAATCTTGGGGCTGATGTTGGGGCAGGATTGGCGGCCAGCAGGGGCGCTGCTAGAGGGCGCGCTGCGAACATGCGGCTGCGCAGGGTGCGCATGAGCGTGCTCGAGGCTTCGAAACATCGTCGGCACGTGCTGGGGCGCATGGCTCGATCTGCTTTGGAAGCGTCTGTTCTCTTTGGGGCCTCCGTCATGGGTACTAGTGGTAAGGATCTGGAGGTTCTTGGAGGTGCCGCGGGCAAGCTTCAAGACCAGCATAAGGATGGCAAGTCACAGACCCTGTCTCTTTTCCTCTCCCCAGAGCCCCGTCTGAACCCTATTTACAAGGCCACTTGGGTGCCCGTCAGTGCCTTCCCCCATCCGCGTTGGCACCAGTGGTTGCCCCTTGAGGCTCTGGATGTAGGTCTGCGTGAGGTTCACAAGCACCTCGTCACATTAGAGCACCCCTGGTCCTCCATCAGAGGTCCCTGCTGTGCCCTGTGGGCTTCTCTCAGGCGCGCGGACATCACGGCTACCTAAGCTGCCTCTTGGATCTGGCCCGACGGGGCCAACGTCAACCCGTCCGACTTCTGCCCCATCACCATCCAAGAGTCCGTTGACCGGGCCATCGAGATTTGGCAGCATGACAGAGTGGATGAGCATCTCGAAGTTCCTGAGTTCTCCAACGGTTTGCTCCTCAGCCCCCTGACGGCCTTGCTGGGTAGGAAGAGCAGGCTCACCGCCGTGCTGAAGGCCCACCTCAGGAGCACCATCGTTGGGGGCCAGTGGCCTTAGAAGCGACAGCGGACAGCGGGGTTCGACACCATGCCGTCATGCCCTTTATGCCCTACCGCCGAAGGCACGCTGGTCCACAGGCACTGTTCCTTCTCAAAGCTCGACGCCATGGAGAATGCGCCGCCTGTTCGTTCCAGTGCCAGCCGCTGATGCCTGATTCCTCTCCCTACTCTGAGCCGGCCGCCTCCAGGGCCTCCAGTTTGCTGGGGATTAGGAGGCCTGCCGGGGTTCCGCGGTTGACGGGCCTGTTTTTTGAGGCAGAGTATCCTAGCCTAGCCAGTGCTGGATGGGGGTGAGTGGTGCTTCGCTCACCCCGCTGTGGGGTTTATCTTTCTGTCCTGGGCCGCTGCTGGACCCCTTGCAGTGCATCGATGCTGCTGAGCTCGCTGCTGTCATTCAGGTGCTTCGCTTCGCGACCCCGCAAGCCAGAGTTTTCGCGGACCCTGCGTGAGTTGACGATGGCTTTTCGGAGAGAGGGCGAGAAGCCACCGCCTGTTGCGTCTCCGCGCACGATCATCTGTGGAAGGAGTCCGGGCGACTAGTGGAGGACTGGGGCAGGGGATACGAAGTTTTTCAAATCAAAAGGCATACGGCCGCTGTCGACGTCCAGCTCGGACGCACCACGGCACGCCACCGCTATGGTAATGCTAAGGCCGACGAGGCCGCTAAGAGTGCTGCTGTTTTCGCGCGTGTCAGTGATGCTGCTACTGCTCAGTTACGGGCTCGCCATAAGGTCCTTAAGGTTTGGGGCTCCTTGGTTGGGCGTCTTGGGGGTGAGCTCGCCGACTGTGGTCAACCTACGAGGCACACCCGCGGAAAGCGCCCTCAGACCCAATTGGTCCTCGCTCGTAATCCTGAGTAGGGTTCTGGCCGCACAGGCCCAGTTGATTGTGGGATCCAAGTTGCATGCCCTGGTCAAGCTCCAACTGCAGGAGGGTCCTTGTCAAGCTCGTGGTTGGGTGCTCTCGCTGTGTTCTATTTCGCCGCCGTTCGGGTCACGGGTCTTGCGAGTCCATGCCCACCCCAGATTTCTGACCGGGCTCGGAAGGTGCTCCAACGATTGGAGAGCAAGCGTGAATATCGTCTCGGCCTTAGCTACGCTGGCTTTCAATGGCTGGAGTGCTATAAACACTGTAGCGCCCCAGGTTGTGCCCAGGAGGAGGAGGAAGAGGAGGAGGAGGAAGAAGAAGAGAGCGAGGAGGACGCCGACTGATCCGCCAGCGGCAAGTCCTCAGAAGCGAATCGCCGCGACGCGGCGCCCTCGCCGCGCATCTCCCTGGGAGACCGACGTCTCGACACGCCCACCGCGCACGGCGTGGTCCCTTGACAACCCCAGGGCGCCGACGGAGAACTCGTCGCCGCCGCCGCCCTTCCTGGGCAGAGCGGAGCAAAGAGACCTCTTCGTCCTCCTCCTCCTCCTCCTCCTCCTCCTCCTCCTCCTCCTCCTCCTCCTCCTCCTGCTCCTTCTTCTCCTCCTCCTCCTCCTCCTCCTCCTCCTCCTCCTCCTCCTCCTCCTCCTCCTCCTCCTCCTCCATCTCCTCCTTCTCCCTGTAGCCATTTTGGCTCAAGCCATTTTGGCTCAAGTCGTGTGTTCCGCCCGCTTTCGGTCGCGCGGGACCGCTTGGGATGGCTCGGGAAGGGTTGCCGCCTGGCGGTCCTCGTGGAGGTCAACGGCATTTGCGTGCCGAGTGCTCGGCCGCGCGGCGGCGGGCGCAGGCTGCCGCGGGCCTCGGGCTCGCTGCTGCCCCTGCCGAGGTGGCACGGCTGAATACCAAGCTGGTGGCGCAGAAGGACAAATTCGTCGAGTTCCTCGTGTCGGTCGAGCTCGTGTCTGGAGGCGACCGTGAGCTGGTCGATCGGCTACTAGCAGCGGTGCCCTTTTTGAACAAGATGCTGGCCGGCCAGGTTCCGGAGCATCTTGATGTGCTACGTCGCAACTCGGCTCTTCATGCTGAAGGCGGCGGTCTGCGCTTTGTGGATGCCTCGGGCGATGAGCTCAGGCACGCCCATCGGGGACCTCGGCTGGAGGTGCGCCGACATCGTAAAGGGCTCCGTCGTGATGCTGCTCCCTTCTGGCCGCTGCGGCCGCCTGGAGTCTGGGGGGTTCCTCCCGAGGCGCTCCTGTTGTAGGAGCTGGGGTACGGCTTTGCAGCCGGCGCAGCTGAGGTGATGGTGGACGGGTGTCCGTCGAAGGGGAGGCCTTTTGCGGTGGAGCCCGCCAGTATTGCTGCCGCCATGGTGGCGCTGGAGACCCAGGTGGTGGGAGGAGAGGCCAAGAGTGTCTGCGGTGGACTCATGGGTGCGAGCCCCGCATCGGGAAGGGCCAAGGTGGTGTTTAGAGAGGCCAGGACCCAGGTGGTGGGCGGATAGGTCCATGGGAGGAGCTCAACCCAGGTGGACGGAGGAGTGGTCGGCCCTCCACGCCACATCCAGGTGGTTGGAGGAGAGGCGGAGGCGATTCCCCCGACAGCCTGCGTTGAGCAGGAGGCCCAGGTCGTGGGAGGACTGGCCCTCGGCGAGATGGTGGACCTGGGGGAGTCCGTCGGCATGTCGCCGTCCGTGCAGCAGGCACGCATCCACGTGTGCGAAGAGTCGCACGTCGAGGTCGTCGGCGTTGGCCCGCACGTGCACCTGTGCGCCCTGGTCGTGAGGTACTCGAGCATGTAGAAGGCTTCGGCTTGGCTGGACGGTTGGTGGCCGCTGCTGGGGGACGATCCCTGTGGAGAAAGGTTTCGCTTGCTCGAAGACCTATATGAGAACGGCCTGGAGAGGAACAGGGAGGAGTCACCGTGATCAACGCGAGCATCAGACCCATGCCCACCAGCCACCCGACCAGGCGCAGGGACTTCGAGCCATTCGAGAAGCAACCGCCATCACGCCTGTGTACTTCGTGCTATCGCTCGTGCTGTCGCGAGGAAGTTGGGGACAGTGGGCGTGCCGCTCCTCGGCGTCTCCGTGCGATCCTGCGGATAGGCGCCACGGTGCTCTAGCCGAAGGCGGCAGTCAAGGCGAGGCGCCCGGGCTGATGGCGCGTGTCCGCCCCTCTCCCCTCTGGCTCCTCCTCATCCCTCGCCTCCCCTTGGCCCCGCCTCGGGCCTCGGTGCGAGCGTTGCGACGGGCGGCCCGTGGAGTACCAAATACATGCCGTCTACTAAAGTTTTCGCGAATATGGTAATCGGACCCTGCTGCGACAACGGCGACGTGTCTTGCGATATGCCAGCGTCGGGGCCGCGATCGCAAATCCACCCCAGAAGAGGAATCGGTGTCGTGTTTCCCATGGCCCAACCTCCTAATCGACCGATCGCCTGCAGGATATCCGACGTCGCA